GTTTAGTTAAGTAAAATAACCCTGATGAAAGCCCTCAGAGAGTAAAGCTGGTATTGTTTTTCAGATCTGCAATTCAGAGCAGTGTACGGTGTCATCATTAAAGTGGATTTGAGAAGAGATTTGGAAAGAACAGTTATTTGTCCTTCTGCTATTGCTCTTCAGCTCGTTTCATCATTACTCTTAAAACACAGCTGACGTCAGAAACTAAAAGGCTTTCATTCATGATGTGGTGTTAAAGAAGCTTTTTGGATAAAAGTGCTCTTTAATTTGTATGAATGTCAGCAACCCACACAGTAAATGAGATAACCTTCAGAGTAACACGCTTCGCTATCAATTTTTCATATTAAATATAACCACGTCCAACAAAGTCTGAATGCATTTATATTTAATAAATGCATGCAGGTTGCTCAATGGAATGCTTGTCAGATCTTTTAGAGACGTTTGACCTTGAATATATAAATACATTCAAACAAGGCTTTGAAATTCTCCAAATAAATATGAGAATTCTTTTCATTGTTGTACTTGTGAAACGCAGAGAGAGTCTGGTGTGTATTCTGCCATGCTCTTCTGTTGAATCAAGTTTAATTGAAGACTTGTTTTTGGAGTAATGTATGAAATGATAGCTTAAAAGTTTAGGCAAATGAAAGATTTCTTTTCATTTTTTGTTTAAATAAAAGTGGTGCTTAATAGGCACAGTTCACCCAAAAATGAAAATGTATTCACCATTCATGCACCTTGAAGTGGGTTCACCTTAACCTTTATGACTTTCCTCTTATTTGGATGTGGATTTTTTGAGGGTTTTTGCAACAAGATCCACTTTTCAATTTTGAAGAATGTTAGAATCCTTAGTAGGGGAAAAAGTCAATAGCTTTTTCGTGCAGCTAATTTTATGATGTTACAGCTGTTACAGCAACAAAAATGAGGGTCAGATGCAACCATCACAGGCAAAATAACATTTGTTTTAACATGACAATAAGATAAATAATATAAAATTAATGAAAAGTCAGCGCCAAATGGGACAATCAACGAGGCTCAACCAAGCTTCATGCTAAGGCGATCACTCAGAACCAGTTCCCCCATGAGGAGCGCACCAAACTGTTTATATCCACATTCTAACGAACGTCACCTGTGTTCCAATCACATCACCTCCAACCTGCAACTAAAACACACGTCACACACACTCACAGCCTATAGACTGCGACACCACATGCACTCACGGCCCATAGGGTGGGATGCCGCACACATACACTTGCAGCCCATAGGCTGGGACTTTACACAAACCCCCTTCAAAATAAATCCATTTAGAATAATTTAATACAAACAAAGATTAAAAAGCAGCTATGATTTTTTTATAAAGCTTTCACAATGAAGATTAATCCCACAAACTATTTTACCTCACCTGTTTACCCCTCTTTTTTCTCTAGTAATCTGGATCCTGAAAGCAAATTAATGTAATGTGTGTATTTATATAGAGCATTTAATGTGTACAGTATGGCCATACACCCAAAGTGCTTCACAATCATTAGGGGGTGGGGTTGGTCTCTCAACACCATCACTAATGTGCAGCATTGACTTGGATGATGCGACAGCAACCACAGGACAACGGCGCCAGAGCACTCACCACACACCAGCTATTGGTGGAGTCAAGAGATAGTGATAGAGCCAATTCAGTGGACGGGGATGATTGGAAGTTGGGAATTTGTGGGAATTAGTGGGAATTTGGCCAGGAGACCGGGGTTACATCCTTACTCTTTACGAGAAGTGCCATAGGAATTTCAATGACCACAGAGAGTCAGGATCTCAGTTTAACTTGAGTATTTACTACACTCAGGCAACTCAGGGCCGGCCCGTGGCATAGGAACCATAGGCAAATGCTAAGGGCGCTGTATGTCCAGGGGGGCACCAGAAATGAGCGCGGTTAAGCTGGTTTTGTTTTCGATATTCCTGACACACATTCAGGTATAGCGATAATAACTCAAAAACCTCTTACCCTAAAAAGATCTAAAGTGTGTTTCCTACAAAAAGACAAAGCTGGTTATGTTTTACAGCTGCCTTTCTTTTTTTCACTCGACATTACGAGCACTGCTCCGTTTAAGCCCTCGCAATATGTGTTTAGCCGGGAGAGCTTGCGCTGAGAGGAGCTCTCAGTAAGGGACCGTCGGAAAAGTGCTTCTTTTTTTTCCGTTTTTCTGCTCCGCTTAGCTCTCCCTGTTGCGAGGGATTGTGTGTGTGTGTGTGTGTGTGTGTGTGTGTGTGTGTGTGTGTGTGTGTGTGTGTGTGTGTGTGTGTGTGTGTGTGTGTGTGTGTGTGTGTGTGTGTGTGTGTGTGTGTGTGTTTGTTTAGTGCTGTCTATGGCCCCGTTTACACTAGTGCGTTTTAGTTTTAAAACGGCGTTTTAGAATGAAAACGATCCGCGTCCACACTCGCGTTTCACCCAGCGTTTCTGAACTGCTCTCCGTCTACACCAAAACGCTGAAAACGCACATCACGTGACCACACACACACTCTCAGGCAAGCGCTGTAGCCAATCTACCCAGATGAGAGCTCTGCTAGTCGGACTTCTCATCAAGCATCTCCCGCTGGATCTAACCTCACTATATTTATTAAACGGAATATTTCTTTCATCTTGTTGTCTTTATTTAACGACATATTCATTGGACATTGGAATCTATTACTTGTTCTCAGGTAACGTGTTTTGGCTGAGCGCAAAGATAAGTTAATGATTAATGTAAGCACGTACATTCTGTATATTGACTGATCGCTTGCCTTTATTTCCTATAATGTATAAACTTATTGTATGTTACACTTTTATAATGGCCATTATCGATTAAAACTGATATTCAGCAAAGAGAGGGTGTGTTTCGTATTTTCACTGAAATTGAAAGGAGGCAGTTGTTGTAGGCTCCGTTTTGTTATAAATATGCACACAGTGAAGATGACGCTCATGCAGCACGACGCCTCAACATTTTTGCTGTCTGTTTAGTTGTTAATATTAAAATGAAAATAGGCAGTTCCTTATATCATGTTTACATTTTATTGTTGAGAAAGTAAAACAACGTAGCCAGGGTGATGTGAATGAAGTTATAAAGTACACTGTTCCCTTTGAAGATTTACCCGTGTCCTCGGTATAGTCTGTTTTCCATATCAAACTGAGAAGAAGAGACTGCAGCCATGATCAAACTTGCGAAGTTTTAACTTACACGGAGAAGATGCAGGACTGAACTGTGCGTGTTAGGCTACTTAATATTCAGGAAAAGCCCCAATCAGAGAGGCGAATGTCTGCAGCCCCGCCTCCGTTTTCAAATGTCTCCGTTTTCCATCATCCACACTGAGACGGAGCAGCTGCGTTTCAGAATGAAAACGGCCTCTCCAGCGTTTTCGAAACGCTCCGTTTTCGGCGCTCGAGAACTCCGGCGTAGTGTGGACGGATGGCGTAACCGTAGCAAAACTTATGCGTTTTTAAACTAAAACGCATTAGTGTAAACGGGGCCTATGTTTGTGTATGTGTTTGAATGAGAGACAGTGTGGTGCTGTGTGTCTGTGTGTTTATACAGACAGCTTCATAACTTCCCCCTTAAAATATAACACTGTTTATGGAAAGCATCCTCAATGCACCGAGATTTCGAATTGAACCGAATCGAAGGAATGATAATCGTAACCGAACCGTGAGACCAGTATAGGTTCACACCTCTAATATATATTGCTTAGCAACAGTGAGTAACCGGTCTTGGCCTGCTGGGTGATATGGCATGTGATGAGTAAGTTAAGGTGAAAAAGATAGTGAGTAAAACAGGGAGTCAAAAGTATTTGAATTATTTAGCACCAGACAGCGAAGAATGGGACAATGCATCAGCAATCACATCATCAGCTCCTTTGATATATTTAATGTTCAAATTATAAGGTTACAAAAAAGAACCCACCTCATCAAACAAGGATTTGGACTCTGCAGTGAATGCAAGAAGGTCAGCGGATTATGATTGGAAATACCACCACCTCTGCTCCTCCTCCCAGATAAACATCAAAATACTGCAGCGCCCAAATCAAGGCTAAAGCTTCTTGTTCGATTACAGAGTACTTTTCAAGAAAAGAAACAAACAGGGTGGTCTATTTCTTTTTTATGACTCTGCAGTAAAACTGCACCAGCTCCTATCTTACTCGCATCAACCTGGATTTTAAAAGGCTGATCAAATTTAGGTGACATAAAAACCGGAGCTGTCACCAATAACATCTTCACCTTGTCAAAAGCTTTTTGACAGCAAGAAGTCCACTCAAACTTTGTAGAACACTTCAACAGTGAAACCACTATAGAAAAAATGAGGGCAAAAACTTCTATGATGGCCAATTAGACCCAAAAAAAACACATTGACACCATTTTCATCGATGGAGAAGAGAAATATTGCATTAAAATGCTTATTGGAAACACCAAGATGCACATCAAATTACACACATTTGGCAAATTAATTTTAGCATGCACATCACAGATCATGTGATAACAAATAAATGAGTGTGATAGGATGGCATTAATGGAAAAAACTAGCAGATTGACCACATTGCACAACATCTGAAATGTTTCATTTATTATAAAATCCCTTAGCCAAAATCCATCATCACACTGGTTTGCTATTATTACCTCACAAGCCACTGCACGATCATTGCGCTTCATTTTTGTCTTTTGGTGTCTCCAGTTTTGCGCATGAGATAGATTTGCATCTTTGCATAGAAACATAGCTAATGGCTACCTGTTTACCTCAAAATTCCTTCATTTGTGTTTAACTGATGAAAAAAAAAAAACCTCAAACATATTTAGGACAATGAAGTATTCATGTATTGGGTGGTCTCTTTAACTTTGCATGACGTTTTTTTGGCTTTAAGTTTTACTGAATTTAAAAATAAAACAGAAACTTTTGTCTTCTCTGTAATAAATATGGACCAAACTCTGTTGTATGTGTGTGCGCTGGATGGACTGAACTGAAGGGAAACGTCTGCTGTGTGCTCTTCAGGTTCATCTGCTGAAGGATCAACTCTCTGCTGAAGCGGCAGCGAGGATTGAAGCCCAGGCTCGAGTTCACCAGCTGCTGTTGCAGAATAAAGATCTCCTCCAGCACATTTCCCTGCTGGTCAAACAGATCCAGGAGCTGGAGCTCAAGCTGGCTGGACAAGGCTCTAGTGAGTATTATTTTCTCTGTTCTGCAGTGTTAGCTGTAAAAGCATGCATTGTTTTTGTGTTTGGAAGAAACATTGCTGGTTGTGCCGGTCTTTTTAACACTTAATAACAAAAGTTCAATGTAAAGTAGAATAAATTTTGTAAAGATTTAAAGAGAATTAAATGCAGGCATATGAAATTGTTTTGGTTTGTTTTTAATCTACTGATGACTTTACGCTGTACAATATGTACATGAATATATACATTGGACAACAGGGTAATACAGTAAAATTATTTACAAAGTTTGGGGATGTTTTTATTATTATTTTTTTATTATTATTTGTTGTTGTTTTTGTGTTATTGCTGTTCTTTACATAGTTTTTTTATTTTCTATTCTATTTAATTGATTTATTAATATTATTATTACTCGTTTATTAGTTCAGTGGTTAATTGTTAATATTTCCTTTTATTATTATTATTATTATTATTATTATTATTATTATTATTATTAGTTGTTGTTGCTGTTGCTGTTGTTGTTGTTGTTGTTGTTGTTTTATTGCTGTTATTTGCATTGTATTTTATTTCATTGATTTATTATTATTATTATTATTATTATTACTTATTTATTAGTTCAGTGATAGATTGTTAATATTGTTTATTATAATTATTATTATTAGTAGTAGTAGTAGTAGTAGTAGTAATATCATCATTGACAAGAATTATCATCATTGAGCAGAATGTGAATAAGGCTGGTAACCTTCACTAAGAGCACTATATGTTATCAATAAAGGGGTTATAAAAAAGACATTTTACAGTCCTCTTTTTACAGGGCTGGCATTAGTGTAGTAGTTGTGACGGTCAGCGATGAGGAGCTCTTCATCATGCTGGCTAATGTGAAAAAAGCACATATCCAGGTGCTGCTGATCTGAATGAGAGCATGCTCCAATAAACTGCTTTAAAATCAGCCTGAAATTTACCCCCTCAAGCACAATGATGATGGGAGAAGCTGAAATGGAAAATGAAATGATATGTGATGGAGAGAGAGAGAAAGAGAGAGAGAGAGAGAGAGAGAGAGAGAAATACATGGAACAGATGGGAGGGTCTTAGTGAAAACACTAGAGTAAAGAAAAGCTGCTGAAACACATCAAATGCCTTTAGAAAGGCCAACTGAAAATGTGCTGCACTGTTATTAACCTGCAGGAAAGCAAGAAAAGAAACATTTGGAAGACTTGTATCATTTTTGTAGTTGAGAACATACCATGGTAACACTTTAGTTGTCACAATTACCACAATTATTTAACTACTGGTTTATTTCCTGCCTATTATTAAGATTTGACCTGTTTTTAAGTTCTCATGATCTTATTCTGCATCACTACTACCTTACTGACTATTAATAAGCAGCTAATTAATAGTTTATTTAACAAACAGCCTTAGTTAATGTTTTAATAGCGTGAATTGTGCATTAAAATATTGTACTAAATGCAGTTTTTATTGAGTGTACTAGATTTAAAATGTTCTGTACATGTGTACAGATCAGATTTAACATTTCTTGTGAACCCTTTTCAATCTTTATCTTAATCTCTTCCTCTCTCTGTGCTTTTCAACAGTGGGCTCTCAGGACAGTCTCCTGGAGATCACCTTTCGTGCCAACGTGCCCCCAGTCTTATGTGACCCCAGCACCCCTCGACCAGAGGACTCCATCCTGCCTCCGCTGAACGATGGGACACAGCTCTCCCTGCCGCTCTGCAGTCCTATAGGTAGGGACCAGGGTTTGATCAAATTTGAGTGTTTTCGCTTTCTGCCTGGACCGCCACACCAACAGGAGGAGGACAGTCCCGACACGCCGTCTCAGGACGTCTCGTCCTCCTCCCGAGACGAGCTTCTAGGCAGTCTGGAGCTGCTCCGGTTCCGTGAGTCTGGCATTGCATCCGAATACGAGTCCAACACAGATGAGAGCGATGAAAGTTGGGGCCTGCAGGATGAGAGCAGCCTGCGCCTGCTCAATGTGCTCAACAAACACATCCCGTCTGACTGCCTGGATGACGAAATTGCTGTTTAATGTGATTTTGTGCTCACGGCTTGGAAAAACTCTGCTCGACGCTCTGCTTAAATGGTTTGAGTCAGTCAGTGTTAATATTGTCTGTTTGTGCTGCTCATTCTGGGAGACTGAGGTGACTTTACTACCTTGGTGGTAGTTTTGTTTGTTATGTTTTAAGTCATATGTTGAAGACCAGAAGGTCTAAAAGTGTAGCCAATGCTGTTGGAAACACTTTACTTTAGGAAGGCACATCAGAGTTTTTCTTATGGGACGTTCACACATTCAGCGATTTGTTATGATGAAGGTTGCCAGGTCAAAGTGTTGTTGGTTATAATGGGGTCCCTATTTCCAAAGTCTATTTCCAAAGGCAAATCATTTCACTTCACGGCCATATTTGAAATGCCTCTCAGGCGTTCGAGTGCAGCTCCTACCTGTTTAAATGGGAAACTTCACATTCTTCAAAACTGTTTGACAAGTTTATGATTAAGTTAATTATTTGCTGTCATCAATGAAATTTAAAAACAGCTGTCTCATTTCAGAAATAAGCATTTTATCAGGTAGCCCAAGCTAATGTGCATGTGTACCCGAAGGAAATGAGATCGCAACACCAAGCTACTTTATGGCTGTTTCTGGAGCATGCGATTTGACGTCATTTCATCAATCTATCAATAACTTGCATGTTACACTTACGTGTTACCTCTGAAGAGTTATCAGTCTATATCGATCGTTGATTGGCTTCTTAATTAGAAGGCTGGGCTACCTTCACTAAAGCGCCCATATTGACCATTACATTTTCCCCTCATTGAAAACTACAAATAGGAGTGACAAGTCTAGAGAGTGAACCTGCAGTCATTGGTGGACTGTTCATTTTGGGATCACAAATGAGACATGCTCAACACAGGCTTACTGGGAAAATTTCCCCTGGTATACATTTTTGAGAACCAAGAAATATTTACTTGCATGGACATATAGCTGCGTTTTATGTGTAAAACAAATGCTATGAGTACCACTGACTGCTTACTTCGGATGTGCATATGGATAGCTTTTCTGGTGTGTCTTTCCTTTAAAAAAACGGTTCCAGAAGCCAGGAAAACAAAAACAGCGTGCGGTCGTGGTAGAAGCACATGGCCACAATGGCTTTTTTCCTATAGTTTGATTTTGAAAATACTATCGGTTGTGTTTAGTGAGGGATGTGTGGGTGTGTTGATATCAAACTGATATGTTATGCATGATGACAAGCCGACTGGCTCCTCTCATGGACGCACACAAGGAGGTTAATATTTACAGAAACGTATACAGTGACCCCTGGTGGATTTACAATAATTTAAGATATGCCGCTAATGAGATAATGTGCTCCAGGGACATATTTGAGATTTAAAAATGTACAAAAATGTACAAGGCGCCCTCTAGTTGATTTGTAAAAATGTAGTCAACGTAGTCTAGGGTACATATTTGTCAGTTCTCAAAAATGTAGTCTTTGGTATTGTAGCATTTCCAATGAGCCTGAGGTTGGAAATACTGATGGATGTTGCCACTAAATAATTACAGTGCATTCTTGTAGTAAGTATGTTGTATGCGTGTCAATATAAAATAATCATTCCGTTCACAAATTATCAATAAATCATTTTAGCATTATTAAAATCAATTTTTAATATTTAAACAAATTCATTTCTCATAAACTTAAAAAATAATATGACTGTATAACTAGATACTGTAACTATAACTAGCTACCGTACTTAAATATTTGCATTTAGTATAATATATAATTCTTTCCTGAGTGATGGGTTGCTGCTGAGAAAACATCCACTGCGTAAAACATGCTGGGTAATTTGGCGGTTCATTCCACTGTGGCGACCCCTGATTAATGAAGGGACTAAGCTTAAAAGAAAGTTAATGATTGAATAATATATAATTCATGGATTTAATGTAAAATTAAACTATATCTAATTAACAGGTGATATTTAGGTGTTTTAAAAATTAAATGTGTACAAACGTATGTGTATTAGCTAAATATATTATTCATTATATATTATATATTTATTTAATAAATCAGTTTTGAGCGTTTTTACTCAAAAATCATTTTAATATGATAATATATCTTTTGACCAATTATTATTGGTGCACAATCATTAATAATGGCTCTTAATATTATCATAGTTGACATTTGTTCTGAAATGTTTAGTTTATATTTTTGTGGAATTTTTGTGGAAGCACTACATTCTACTTTTAGGGATTATTTGATCACAAGAACGTTCAAAATAACACCATCTATATATCACAAAAATATATAAAAAATATATCAAAAAATTTTTTGAATACTTTAAAGGATATATAAGCAAGTTTAACAGTATAATATCCCTAATCAAAACTACTAAATGTTAAATGGATCACAGAATCAAATGTACACCATCATCTTCCCTCTCATTGGTAGTTGCACCTTTAAATCCCTACTTATTTGCAAGTGACCCGAGATTTGCATCCAACTTTCTGTTCCCACCATTGGCTTTGTCATTGAGAATCGCTGTTTGTGTCAACTCCTGTTTAGATTTCACAGATCATTTACAATAAGGTAATTGTTTTTACCTGCAAGAGATACAGGACATCAATATGTCATGTAACACTGAGCTAACTTGATACACTTGACCTCTAATATTATATCTGTGATATCAGTTGTACAGTTGCTGGTTTGTTTCTGAGCAGTATTAGATCTTTACTTTATACACTGATCTGCTCAACCACTTAGATACCTCTTCACAAGGAGACCTCAGAATGCAGACAATTACCCAACTACATCTGTTTTAGCATGCACGACAGAACAGACTCTTAATTGAATGACTGTGGACGCTAAGCTAATTATACCCTAAGGGTAACGAGGCGGCTAAACCGGTCAGATCTTTACCAACAGGAACCCCAATTAGCGTGTCAGAGTTTTCACGACCCACGTCCTTTATTCAATATTTTCATACTCAGAAGAGCTTGTTGTCTGAACGCTTCACATATGAACTTTTTGTATATGTTTTGCTTTCTTGCGTTGGGTCTCTTCTGTGCTTATCAAACGTGAAATTTCAGTGTCTTAACTGTATCTCTCTGATAAAGTATTTACCTCTTTAACCTCTCTGTTTTTTTTCTCCCTCTCGCTTTCTCTGTTTCTCTCTCTTTGCCAAGTGTCATTTAGAGCCAGACAAGTGCACGCAATTACTCTGGTAATAACAGAGTGGTAAGCAAGTCTTCCCACACATGCAGGACAACCAAAGCACTTTCTGTTGTTGGTTTAGTCTTAAAAGGATAGTTTAACCACAATGAGAATTTGCTATCAATTCACCGGTCAGGCCTTCCAAAATGTAGGTGACTCTTTTTTCACAGGATGAACATTAAAACTGATTTTTTTAATTGTGTGTCTGACGAGCAAGGTGGTGAAGGCAATGACGCAGCGTGTTGCTGTTTGCATAGTTGAGTTGGAAAATAACCAAAAAATGCAGTCAAAGGGTCAGGAGTGATGATTATATTTAGGTCTTGTGTAAGAAGTTTAAAATATTAGACCAATTTACCTTATTCTCCGCCGACGCGCGGGCGCTGCCATTTGAATCTTTTTGTCTCGCAACTTCCGGTCACATTCACTTCCATTCATTTTTTGATGTTAAAAACTGCTTATTACGCTGCTTGATGTTGCAATTTGATATTTTCTATTATATTATTCTACCTGGTCTGTATAGTCAAGCAAACATTTGTTTGTAGAGCAAGTAGTTTGACCATTTTCTGCCGTTTATTATTCCTAGTCATTTCTCCCATAAGCGACTGAATCGGAAGTTCTAAGACAATCGCGAAAACAGGCGCACTTCTGCATTTTAGAATAAGGTCAATAGTTTGCTAAATTTGAACAGTACCAAAACGTGTGGGAAATCACCGGTGACTGCCGATATCTGTTACAGGTATTGCTTCTGTCTGGAAATATTTCAGAAAGTTTAGGATTAGTGAAATGGATACTGTGTAGTACGTCTGGCACAAATAGACAAAGAGTGAACTAAATTGGGAATGTCCTTTCATTGGTCCTCAGAAACCTCAATACATAGATCTTGCTCCCACGTTTGTTTAAGTAATACCCATGACTTCTGACGATACATCAAAATGACTGTTCAGTGCCAGAAGACTTCAGCCTTAAGTTTTTTAGTCTAGATTGGGGTGTCAAACTCAGTTCCTGGAGAGCTGCAGCCTTGCACATTTTAGTTCCAACCCTGCTTTCAAACACCTACCTATAGGTTTTAAACAAGCATGAAGGACTCAGTAAGTTTGATCAGATATGTTTAATTATGGGTAAACATGGCTGCATCCTCCAGGAGTTTGACACCTGTGGTGTAGATTATAGATAGTAATGTTGGAAATACATATATTTTTTTTGCAAGGACTGATAGTTTCTTTTCAAAACACCTAATTGTATTGTCTTTAGTCAGCTAAAGCTGCATAACATTATAATATAAAAACGTAAATTGCGATATGTATTTTTTGTTTGTTTGTTTGTTTGTTTGTTTGTTTTGGGCAGTGTATTTTGTGAAGTGAATATAATTTCATAAGATGACTTTAACTCTATTTGAAAATAGAAAAAAAAATACTTTGATTGGGATAATTTTGTAGGGGAGTGTATTGCATAAAATGTAAACAAAAGTGTAGATGAGTACACCTGATCAAAGATAGAAAAACTCAATTAGGCAATGTTTTAGTTATTTGTTTGTTTATTTATTTGTGGATTTTAACAGTATTAAGGTATAGAAATTATTATTTTAAAAAATATGTAAAACTGGGCTGCATGGTGGGTAGCACGTTCGCCTCACAGCAAGAAGGTCACTGGTTCGAGCCTCAGCTGGGTCAGTTGGCGTTTCTGTGTGGAGTTTGCATGTTCTCCCCGTCTTGGCGTGGGTTTCTTTCGGGTGCTCTGGTTTTCTTCTACAAGTCCTAAAACATGTGGTATAGGTGAATTGGGTAGCCTAAATTGTCTGTAGTGTGTGTGAATGAGTGTATGGATGTTTCCCAAGGATGGGTTGCAGCTGGAAGGGCATCCGCTGTGTAAAACATATGTTGGATAAGTTGGCGGTTCATTCTGCTCTGGCAACCCTAGATTAATAAAAGGACTAAGCCGAAAAGAAAATGAATGAATAAGTAAAACGGTCTAGTTTTTGTTATATAAATAATTACATACAATTGATCTTTGTTTAAGCTATACAAACCTTATACAGGGTTTCCGCAGGGTCTTAAAAAGCCTTAAAATGTCTTAAATCTCAAAAGCTAAATTTTAGGCCTTAAAAAGTCTTCAATCTACTGAAATATTGTGTTGTAGGTCTTAAATCTTTTTTAACAGGTCTTAATTTTTCTTTGTTCATGTATAGCTACCCAATCTGGTCATTAAAACTCATAAAATCACCAACAATCCCAATCTCAAGAACTTTTAAAATAGCATTTAATTATCTTCCTCACATTAATTTGTTAAAAATTCTCCATTTATGTAATGCTGAAGATACTGACCTAACCTATATTTTTTATAAGTAAATTATTATTATCGTGTTTTTAAATGTATTCATTTATAATTATTTTTGATAGGGAAAGTGAAAATATTTTCCAGCTGGCATATTCTAATAAAACTCTTAGCATTTAGCCCTGTATAAGTCTCAAATTTCATTCATAATGGTCTTAAAAATGTCTTAGATTATACTTGGTGAAACTTGCAGAAGTCCTGTTATATTTTATTGTGTCCAAATAGTAAATTTAGTTCTAGTGATGTGACTAATGCAGCTTCGCGCATTGCAAAATTGATGCAGAAAGTATATATTATGCAGCCTTACTGTGTTGTTTTGACTTTAGGCCATTGTAGCTGTTGACATTACTGTTATGAATCACCAAGGATCACAGTTTCTGCTATAAAATTATATTTATTATTCTGCTGATGACAAAAGTTCACCTACATAGTGGATGGCCCAGTAAAGGGGGCAACATACTGTAACAATAAGTTACAATTTTTAGGTAAAACGTCTCTTTATTTTTCTGCACGTATACAGTAATAACTTTTAATAACT